TTGAATTTCAAAAGATGTTTAGAGACATATCGACGCCAGCGCCATCTATCGAACTAACTTTTAAACGAAATATTTCGAGTCTATAAAGTACAAAGCACAGACACAAATGGCCTTTTTATATATTACATTTCATAAATATCTATTTTCCCACAAATAATTAAGTGCCAACATCACTCAATAATTGTTTTGCATTAAAACTGTTTAAACAACTTTCATTTGATATCCATAATTAATGAATTTTGTCCTTAATTTTAAAATTAAGTGGCAGCACCACCGATTGCGAATAAAACCATGCTGATTACCAGTCCGGAGAAGAACCAAACCTATGCTAATTTTCGTGATAAGATTCAAAGTTTTATGTGGGAAAACACAGTTTTTCCTGTTTATAAACGAGGATAAATTATACTCCATTTTTATAAGGAAATATTTATTTTTAACTAGTCTTTGTTTAATATTGTGATATTTAACATAACTTACTTATTTAATTAATATATATTTTTGTATGTATATAAGTGGCAACTCTTTTATTTTGAAACTCACTGGATTAAAACTCTCTCAAGCACCATTCCTTTGACCCCAATCTTGTAATAGTTTGTCTACTTATTTAATATTTTTACTATAGAGAGATGGCAACGACATGATTTTCTTCCAAAACCTTCAACATTTATCGTCATATTTCAGGCAATTTACATAAAACCTTAATAAATTATGTACGGAAACCTGCCGCATTAATAACAATGTCTAAAGCTTAAAACTGTAAACAAAAATTTTTTTTTTTTTCAGGCGGACAACTGGCGCTTTGGGGACCTTCATTTTATGATATGTATAGATTAATTAATTTTTGTATTTTATATGAAAATTTAAAAAATTCAAATATCACTGAAAATACTGAAAATTTAAATACTTTTTTGGGTTCGACAACTACACCTCAATATGGCAGCAGAGTTATACTTGTTATAGAAACATTATTTATATATATATGTACATTTTCGCAATCAATATATTTTCGAGGTAATTATAAATTTTTTTCGCGACCCAGCCTAATACAAATAAATATCAGATTAAATATCAGATCACAACAGCTGCATATATTTTCATACACACCATTTTTAAAGTACGTTTTCTAGTACTCTTTGAATCATTTTCTCGCTAAGTTGCACTTAGGTTTTTTAATATTTTTTTTTTTATTGAGTAACTTTGTTGACATAGTTTATTATCATTGATTGCTTTAAAATACATGTATATATATGCGAAATTATCTATTATTAAATATTACAAGAAATTGATGATTCACATCAAAGTAATTTGCGTTGCTTAGTTTTAAAATTAGCAGGGCTTTTTTTTATTTATTTATACACAAATGTACAATGTGCATATGACATTAATTTGTATTCACGTAAATTCATAAGTACACTTGCGTATTCCAAATAATAATAAAAAACCACAAAAAATGACCAATAAACATTTTACAGTTGTGAAATTAATGACTTTAGCTATTTGGAAAACACTAAAGTTTGTTTTAATGCTCTTCACATTTTCAATTTGCCGTAAATCACAGTTTGCTATTTTTACGTACCCCCAAATACATAAGTACAAATAATATACTATATGTATGTATGTATGTACATATGCATGCATGCATTTACTTGTGTTTACTTGCAAATAAGTATGTATTTTTAGCATGCAAAAAGCTAGGCTTATTTTATTAAGCTATTCAGTACTCGTATTTGTAAATAACCCCCGAGCCGGTTGAAAATTAAGAAAAATACTTCCGTATCCACCCACTGCACCTTGCTGTGTGTGTGTAGGTACAAATGTACTTATATATGCTTGTATGTCTATTTATTTGCCTAATTCATTTAAAGCTAACTTTAGAATTTGTTCATCATTGTTTCTATCGAAATTAATTAAGACTGGCGAGGTCAATGGTTAAAAAAAAAACAGAGGTGAAATTTTGCAATTAATCGAAAAACGTGGTAAATTACATTTGCAGTAATGTATAAAAGTACATATGCATATTAAGACGACTCACGAAAATAGTTAACTTCTACCATCAGCTCAAACTTTCTTAAAAAACCTTTAACTTTCTGCAAACAATTTAAGCCTACCACATCAACACTAATGGAAGTTTTTCTGATAGCTCACCTTTGTTTCAGTCACTGGTCCTAGATAATGGAAAAATTTAAGTTTCAAATAAGGTTCAACAACATTTTTGATGTAATTTTCGGTAATTTTCTTATAAAAATTCGAGCAACTAAGTCACAACTGGACTAATTTTCATTTGAAAAAAAAAAAACATAAATGAAAGGGTTAACTAAAAAAAAGTCATATGGAAATGGAAAAAGGTACCATGGAAGTGAAAATTAATTAAAAACTTGCGAAATAGTAATTAATTATACCGAAAACTGAATTATTTTAGCATTTCGGGAGAGATTTTGAAGAAAAAATTACATATTGCCTGTATTCTCTTATGACATACATACATACATATTTTCTGGGAGAAAAAGTTTTTCGATACAAATAATTTTTTTTTTCATAAAAAATACGATTTTAAAGAGTATTTTCAACACGCTTCTGCTCAAGAATGACGATGACTTGACAGAAAATATTCTGAGGGGAGCTATAAAATTGATCAAATTTCATAATTCGCTTTGGAAAATAAAACCATTTATTCTTCTTTGGAACATGGAATGCACCTACACAAGTAAATGTGTATGTACATACATATATAGAAGGTTTGAAAATTTTTAATTCAAAAACCTCAACGTCTATATGGTCAGCTGAATACTTAAGTTAAGTGACACTTTGACCAGCTTTGGCTATTTCTTTATCTGGCTTTTTCTATATCTTGTATCTATTTAAGGTTTATAATTTTTTTATAAAAGTCTATGACATTACGTAACCAGCACCACATAAACCTACATATCAAACCTTGTAAAAAATTATAATATAAAAATTCCACAAGCTTTAACAATTTCCCTAAAAAATTTTAAACTTTTTATTCTATATTATATTTTTAGGGAAATTTTGGGTATCCAAAATGGGTTATAGCTACGGTGACCATAAATATGGATTCAAAATGAAGGACAATTTTTCAAAAATATGCCTACATATATTTAGGTAGTATAAAAATATTAAAAGAGTATTTATGATTCTAAATTCTTATTGCATTTTAGACTTTAAAAACGAATAACGTTTTCTTCATCAATATTAATCATTTTTTACGTGAATATTTATAAAAGTATAGTAAAACATATTATAACTGCAATAGCGAAAAGTGAAAATCTTTAAAAGATTATTTTATAGCCAAATTTGGAGTCGTTCAAAACGAAAACAATACCCTTCTTTTTTTGTTTTTTGGTACTTTTCGAAGTTATATGTCAAAAATCGACGTCATGAATCGACGTAAACGACGAGTTACAAAGTGCCCTTTACAAAAATATTCAATTTGTGCAGACTGTAACGATATATCTTCTTTATCGAATTTTAAAATAATGAAAAAAAAATATCAAATGAAACTGCGTATTTGATTGAAAATCTCACTTTTTTCGACTTTGACGACAAAATGCAAATGGTCGCCTGTAGCACTAATAATTTTCATTGAAGTCGCTACAAGTTGTATATTTTGGTAAGAGGCACATCAATACCCTTCGAGTTGTAAGTCGCTTACGTTGATTGGGAGATTTTTTCATGAGATATGGAAGAAAAGCTACGAAAAGTACCAAAAAACACTTTTTTAAAAAAATCCATCCATTGTCCGATAATTTTAAAATAACGATAAAATGCGGGACAAATGCAGGACACTTGGAAAAAATCAGTACATTTTGAGGTTTTTCAGGTTTGAAAAACTACGGAGGACCGACATTTGAAAAACAGTACGGTCCTGCAAAAAACAGAACGGATGGTCACCGTAGTTATAGCCCATTAAATTTTAGTTGGTTAAGGTACAACACGCTGGAAAATCGCGTTGATTTTTAATAATTTTTTTTGGCTGACGGTGTTGTGCGTTTTCTTCCATATAAAGTATGGCCCAACAATTTCTTTTATATGTGACAAAAAATTATTTTTAGCAATATGATTACAAAAATTATTTAAAATTTATTGAGTATAAAAATGTATGGGAAATAAGTAATATTTGCAGAAAAAATTACTTTTTAAACATTATTTTCTAAGAAAATTATGTCTATGAAGTATATAAAAGGTTATGTGTGAAAAAAATTGCTACTTTAGGGGGAAAAAATATTTGCGGAAAAAATTGGGGAAAAAATAATTATTTTATGGGAAAAAATGATGAGATTAACACAACATTTTTTTTAAATTAAGAAAAAAAAAGCTTTTAGCTAAAATTTATAAAAATTTGTACGAAAACATTATCTTTTACATTGAAATAATGTAAAATGTTTTTAATTAGCACTCGATGAATAATATTTCCCAATTGAAATCATGATATTTTAACTAGATATAGGCTCATGGTCCTGAGAGGGTTAAATATACCTTTCTAAATACGAAGTGTTTAGGTATTTAATATTAAATAAAAAAAAATTTAATACAAAAGCCCCGCACTGCTTTTTAAAATTAAAAGGTACTGCTTATTGATGAGTGAATATGAAGTTTTCTGGTCACTTGAAACTTAAAATGCGTGTAAAAAATAACCGAAAAATGGAAGTGGACTCAATGAAAACTGGTTAAGGTGATTTTTTGAACCCTTGTAACCATCCAATTGAACGTTAAAATAGGAGATATAATTTAATTTGCGAATTCAGGCGTGGCAAATATCAGCCTTAATGCTAACCCTTAACGCTTTCAAACTAGAGCATATTCAATTTTAAAATTGGGGACTGTGCAGAAAGACTTTGTATGTACGATTTATAGAATCCGTTAAAAAATTCCGCAATTAATCAGAAGTAGGCTTCAAAATTCGATTATTTTCGAAATTTAATATCTCCTATGTACTTATCTCAATCATCACCATCATCATTTTCAAAAAGTAACTGACTTACCCTTGACATTAGCCGATCTGCACCAGTTCCTTCATCATCCTTAAATATAATATCCTTATTGTAATTTGGTACCAAATTCTTAAATTTAGGCGAATCTCTCTTGATGGCGCCCTCATTCAGACCGGAAGCGCCCAGTGTACGCTCGGACATATTCGGCACGTGCTGCTTAAAAACGAGAGGCGTAAGTTTGCGATTTTTTCGCGGTCCACCAATACCCCGACCCGGGCCGCAACCCGCTGCAGCAGAGAAGAAAGTGCAGAGCAGCAAAAGGGTGCATAGACGACGCAATGTTAGGCGACGGCTTTGCGCAAAAGCGCCTCCACAAATTCGTGTGGTATCTATGTCGGCAAGGGGTGATTGTTCGGCGGAATCATGCAGCATCACCGGCGCATTGTTGGTGAGCATGGTGGGACACGCGGCTGTTGCAGGTGCAACTGGAGAGGCGGGATGATGATGGACTGCAGTGTTCGCGTAACTGGTATCGCCGGTAATACTCTGACCTCCTCGTCTCCTACTTTCAGGCATTCTTTTACAAATCTTACAGCACTTTGTGGTTTTGGGTTGTTGCAGGCGTTCTTCAGGCTTAAAATCTAACTGTGCTACAGCGGCTTGATACATTTTAAAATGAATCTGTTTTTGTTGTTTTTTTTTTTTGCTGATATGTATTTTGTTTTACGCAAGTTATTTTGTCCGTTAAATCAATTTTGTTGTACTTTTTATGTGATAGACATTTCACCTATTTGGCGTGTATTCATAGCTGCAATTTTTTTTTACACGATTTTGTTTCGATTTCTTTTTTTTTTTTGTTTACAGTATTCCGTTTCAAGTACTTGAACCAACACACTAATTTGCAATACAACAAAAAATGATAATTTTCAAAAACATCTCGCAAAATTTAACACTTTTATTTTCGTGCCCGTGGTGCCAATATTTTTCGCAAATTGGCGTCGTCAATGAGCGCACAGCTAGCTATGAGCGTACGCATGCACATTTGAGCACTAATTAGCTGCAATTTGTGACTTTTACACTTTCGCATTCGCATACGGTATGCACGAAAGCAGCTAACAAACTATCGTCGCAACTGTGCTATTAACTTCAACTGTGGCCAGTACTCGCTCACTGATTGACAAATGACATTTCAGCGCTGTATCGACGAGGTTGCTGTCCAGAACTCGGTCGAAGGCACGTTGCTGTCGCCGTAGCTGCTGCTCCGTCCACATATCTACTTTCCGACGTTCAATATTCCGGTTCATCCCGGTAGCGTTCACTTCGCTCCCAAGCACTACTACATACATACTACATACATGAGTATATACAAGCATACTTGGCGCTCCAAGCAAAATTCATTTTCATATCTCCTCGCAGCAATGAATTGAAACAGCCGACGACGCAGCCAGGTAACAAACACTGATAAAATGAACCACAAGTCACAAATCTTAAGTGTATTCTTCACATACGCGCCCACACACACATATACAAAAAACCTGAATATCCGTACATACATACATCCATTTGTACACTCATTCCAACATGAAACCGAAAAGGTGCAAGTGTAAGTGGTCGTTAAATGCGTGGCGCAGTAAAAGACAGGCCGATTGCTGTTAGGGGCGCGCAGCTTATAAAAACGCACGCATACACACCCACATTTTACGCACACAACGCTAGGATTGATCGTGTCGTTTCATTGGATTATTTTCGGCGCTGTTTAGTTGCGCGTTCTTCATCCACAAACGACGACAAAGTTGTTGTTGTGTCCCGGTTTTCGGCCATCAACAATTTAGCTTGTTATTTGGACTTCTTGACGCATGCGCGCAAAAGAGACGAACAGAGTGCATGGCCAAAGAACCACAGGGAACCAATTGAAACATACAAACACATATTTAGAGACTTGCACACACTTATGCAATTGATGGCGAACCTATACATTACAATATTTTGACTTGGTCAGGCCTATATAAAACAGAAATGAAATTGTACCAGAGAGCCAGGCTTTAGCCCAATTGGAGTTGCTGCACATGGATTTTTTCACCTGCATGGTGCGGCGTGAGCCGTCGTGAGCCGTGCGCCGGCTTCTTCACATTCAGCTTCTTACAAATATTAAAGATGTTTAATGGAAATTATTTCAATATCTATTAGTTACACGAAATGCGGACAAACAACTTTTTGTTTAAATGTTCCTACGAGTTTTTATGAATGTTTCGGTGAAAAGTAAAAAGAAAATAATAAATTTTGGGATGCGGCAGAGAGAGTGTTGCATTTTATTTATCTACTACGGTTTAGTACATAAAATATTTGTGTATTCATATACACATGTATGTATGTATATGCATGCATACATACCTACATAGCAAATAACATACCCGGTTGGGAAAGAAATTGAATTCCATAAAGGCATTTGGGGTATTCACACCTGCTGGTTAAAAATTATTATTCTCTAGTGTGTTTGATTTAAAAATATAACTACTTAGCCAGATAACCTGATAACCAGGCAGGTGTGAATATCTCAATAGCAAAATTTTATAATCTTAAAGAAACCTAGTAGGGGTTTTCAGCTCTGACTGACTGGTAACGCTTTCTCAGGTCCGACTAGAGGGTGGGGGTCGGTAGCGCCCTCGAATGGGTTTGGCTACGTTTCTGTAAAGGCCAAAAGGCGAAGAAAACCGTCGGGAACGATCTCAAGAAGGACAAAATGAGAACGAAACTTTCGGGAACTTTTCCATTGAGAACGAAATGAGAACGAAGGTATCGAGAAGGTTTTCAAAACGGATCAAATAAGAACCAGATAACATAACTAGAATATTAAAAATGAGAGGGTCGTCTGATTCTTAATTCTAAGCCAGAGAAGAGATGAGTCATTACAACTTTCAGATCGTTTATCATTAGGGTGTACTGTACTGGTATAGATCAATTTTTCATTTTCTGTGCAAGAAAAGTTCGTGTCTTAAGTCTTTCGTTAACTTTATTTGCTTAATTATCTTTATGTTCTTTTTTGATCAATGCTGGATAATATTCAAACATTTCAAATTAATGGAACGCTATGAGAAAAATTCTGTTCTCGCTTCTACATATACTTCGCAAATAGTTCATAGAATATTTGTTCCCGTTACGTTCTCTGTCAGAAAGTTCCTGAGAATTTTGTGCCCGTTTTGTTCTTTGCGAGAATGTTCCGGAGACTTTTGTTCCCATTTTGGTCTCTTAGGAATGTTCCTGAAAGTATTTTTTGCATTTTTCCCCACATGTTTTTGTTTCTTATATAAATTCCGTTGAGAACCTTATCGATAGTTTTGTTCTCGTTTCGAACGTATTGGAATAAACGTCCAATGGATGGTGCAGAAGATTCGGAATGACACGTAAATATTAGAGAATAATGGGCGTCCACCTTTAATTCGTGCAACTTGCTTAGCAATTGGTACGGAGAAAAATGTTGGGTGCCTTGATTCGTCTTTAAAAGAATAAGTTTTTTCGACAAATCGAAAGAAACGTCCACATCGTAAGCTTCACAGAAGATTGGAACTTGCTTTTGCCGGATTTCTTCGTTTAGCCCAGAGGTTCCCAAATTTATTTTTCTCGTAGACCCCCACTTTAGGCCCCTTTTTTGAAATTCTGAATAAAATGGCATTCGACCTTCTAAATGTCAAATGTTAAAATGTTCTAGAAAATTATTCGCCGAAAAATTTTACCAGGGTTGAAAGTCCAAAGAAAAAAAATTTTCGACCCTAATTTGACTGTACTAAAATAAAGATTTCAGATATCAGAAAATCTCCAATCCAAACAAATTGTTTCTTTTTCTGTCTTTCCAGGGTTTCAAAAGTAGAATCAGAGTGGTTTAGTGGGAAAAGTCTTTGATTTAGTGTCGACCTTAACCAAAACTTGGGCTAAGCATACATATCCAGTGGTGAGCCAAACAAGTGGGAACGTGTTGAATATTTTAATTATTCACATCTTTAAGGCACCTACAATTTTAGACTAATGAAGTACAAGTTTCAAGTGGCTAAAAAATTGCGTGGATTTTTGATTGTTTTTTTTTTTTGCTGACGGCTTTTGCCATTTTTTATGTTTTGATGAATTTTTTTTAGATAATTTAAACTCGTAAAAGCCTAGGTTTTGAAACCATTCTAGAATCTAAATATTTCCCTTATATTAGAGACTGTGTTTGCTGCAGAGGGTTATAGGAACTAGGATACTCCCTTTAAAAAATGATGCACTTTTTTTGTTCGCTTCAATTGCAATATTTTCTAAATAAATATTATATTCTATACTTTCTATTATTAATAAAAATCCAAAGTAAACAGGTTAAAAGTCATGTAAAATAATCATTTGTTTAATTGTCTTTTCCAAGTAATTCTGTGATAAACTTTGCAAGCTTTGCTTCTGTTTATTTTAAATTTGCCATTAAATTGCGCGTGAATTGTTTTATTACAAACATTCTTGATATTATTTACCATTATTGCTTATTCGTAGAAATGCTCATTATCATCACTGTTCTACAAAATTTATGGTTCACACGAAGTGGTCAATAAATTTTTAAGTTTGCGAAGTGAATGTCAAACAGCTAAATCAGTAGCGTCTATTTTGAAGTAATTTCCGTTTTCAATTAGCAATAAATTTAATTTTTCTATTTTATATTCATTTATTTGTAACTAGTATATAAGCAAACCAAACGCTTTCTTTCATAAAGGAATATTTTACGTGTTAGATTAGATAAGGCAGACGTGTAAGAAATTTTCATACTTCTACTCTTTGTCCCCTCTGAATGCCCTCTACGAGTGCCAGATGGAAGTATGTACATTCATCTGAACTGCCTCAGATGAAATTGAGGAGAACCAATAGTTTAATTTTTCTTCAAATGAGAAATAACTCAAAAATATTTCAGAGTGTAATACATATCGTCGTCCTTAGGCCAGAAACATGAATGTATAAAAATTAAAATGTTGGGAAATCAACTATGATTTTTTTTAATGAGAATTAACTCTAAATTCATGTAATTGGCATTGTAATATATGTGGTTCCATGCACGCATGGTATTCTGGATTTTGGTATAGCATAGAACCATCGGCGTAGCCAGAATGAAATTTAGGGGAGGGCTCGGCCCTATTAATCTGGCATTTCAGGGTACTATTTGATATATATATAAGGAAAATTTTAAAGTTAGAGGGGGGGAGGGCGAGAGCACTAACTTTCCCGTAATATTTTTGACAAACATTATTCGATCGTCGCGTAACTTTATCAAATAGGAGATCAGACTTGTCGCTATTGATTGAAAGAAATTTATCAATTATAAGATGGCAGTTGTTAGGTTAACAATAAAACGATTTAGAAAAAATTTACAAAAATCTCTGTTCGCCTCTTCATACGCGTAGACAAAAGTATACCAACTTATGCTTTTCCTATTCATGTTTTGCCTAGGCAAATAAATTTTTCCCAGGGTGGCGGAAAACTAGAACCAGCGTCCGGAATATATGCAAGAAATATTATCGCCGATCTTGCCTTATCTAAAACTTATATTTTTTTTTGCATTGAGTCTGTACTTATACACTCTAGCATATTCAGAACTTTGTGAGAAATCACACAAGTATTCTTAACATTTCGTATGGAAAGTTGCAAGCACCTCAGCCTAACCTAAACTCTGGCGAATACCGTCCGGGAAGTATTATGCGGAGAGCTGAATATGATTTGCGGAATTTCGGCTTTTTATGCTTTTTTTCTTGAACATTTTCACTCACATTTGGCGGCTGCTGCAGTTACCACTCCGCAGGGCCTGGATTCAAAACCGGTTCAAGGCAACATCGCAAAAAGAATATAGAAAAATGGTTATTTCTTAACAGCGGTCGCCCTTCGAGAGACAATGCAAAATACAATCGCCGTTCGTATTAAAACTGTAGGTCCCTCCTCTTTGTCTGGCAACATCATGGCGCAAGCCAAAAATCGGTGTAAGCGCCCTTCTATTATCTGAAAAAGCATAGTAAATAGTACTTTCGCGTCGGGCAAATAAATGATAAGGATTACCACTTACCAAATAAGATACGGAAGGGCATCGTATTCATAGGTCATAGGTTACGATCGTAACTAACTCGTTAGTTTTCCTCAGAAGTTAGATCACAAATCGGTGGTATAGCGCCGATCAGCATGCCAAGCCATTTCGAAAATTCCACTAGTTTTGGTACAAATGGACATTATTTTGAAGGAAATCTCAACAATAGCA